TCGAATTATTAATTTTGAAGCTGCTAAGCCTTCCTCAAATTTCGCCATGTCGTTATTCGCAGAAAAATAAGCTAAGCAAGATCCCATCGTGAGTCCTTATATCTTTTAATAGAAACTAGCGCCAAAGTTGAAATACTAGATTAAGAAGTCTTAGAATGAAGGCTTTACTAAACTTCATAGTGTTGGTTCGACCTTGTTTTCGCAACTTGGTCGTAGCGTCAGGGAGACCTTGTGGAACGTGTCAAGTCCTGTGGCCTCTGTCATAGTATTTATGATTTCCACCATTGGACCATTGACTTGGTACATTCCCAAACGTTTCGCCAGCATTGAGCCTAGTCAATGGTCAAATGCTGGAAATCACGAATACTCTGGCAGAGGACGCAGGACTAGATACATTTCACAAGGTCTCCCCGACGCTATAAAGCTGAAGGAGACTGTGATCAAACAGAATGCCACACCATCTTGGTCTTCATACCTACGTTTCTAATCTACCTTTCTCCGTTATTTACTCATTTATCTGCTGCTCAATTGAGCTTGCCAATTCATAAACTATTTTAACAGAATATATGCTAAGAATAACTGGGTCTTGAATAATCTTTTGAAATCGTATTTTTGTAGAGACTTTGATTTTTTATGAAAGTGCATGATGAAGAGATTTGTAGGTCGAGTTCCACGGAAATTGACGACCGATTCCCGTTGGTTTGCAGTCGTGTTTGGCTTTAACACAACGTTCAAGCGGACGCAGTCCACGAGATATCCTCCCTCGAGAAGGGATTGCGTCAGCTTGAAGGTCGTATCAAAGTCACATGACTACAGAATAACCGGACTCCGTCATCGTCCGATGAGATTGACCTATTTTCATCACATACAAGGGACTATATGAATCCCATTTTCTTTATTATCTTTCCCTATTTATGCATATTAAGAAGGCGCTTTAGCGTCTCTTTGACGTAATGAGCTTAGCAGACTCCCTATCCCAATGGTAGATAGGAAGACCAAGGTGGTATTGTCTTAGGGTTAGTTGCATAGGGTTGGTTTGACCTCGTTTTCGTAACCTAGTTTGAGATAAAGTGAGATCTTGTGAAAAGTACCTGATCATGTGTCCTCTGCAATACTGTCCACAATGATTTCCAGCATCGGAGAGATGAATTGGTGCTTAGGGATGTAGTATTTCCTCATATCGAAGCTGTGAATTATGAGGAATACCATGGCAGAAGATACAATATGAAAAAGCGGTTTTCGATAAAATTGTTATTGATATTTTGAGTTTGTATGAAAATGCATTATGAAGAGATTCGTTGGTTGATTTCACCAGAAGACGACGGCTAATTCCTGCTGTACTGCAGTCATTTTGCGTTAATGCGACCTTCAGGTTGACGCGGTGGATACGGAATGAGCATTCGTTCGTCATCATCGGACCTTTGAGTTGACTTGGTGTTAACCTGACACTTTTACAAGAATAACACGCAGCTCCGATGATATCCATCATGTCACGAATGGAAGCTCTTTCCATTTTCACCATAAATGCGGGCAGATTTCTCGTGGACAGCGCCCGCCTGAACGTCGTGTTGAAGCTAAATACGATTGCAGAACAATGGAAATCAGTCGTCGTCTTTTGGTGATATCAACTAACGAATATCTTCATCATGCACATTCATATGAAATCAAAATCTCCACAACAGTGTGATTATGTATGTTCCACGAAGTCGCCTTGTCTCCCCCAACAGATTTCCTATTCCAATATCCTTCATACTTGTAACAAAAATTCCAACCTTAGGTTTGCAACTATGATTGAAGTGAGAATTCCCAATAGACCCAGTTTATGCTGCCTCCCCACAAACAGCCATAACCATTCTGTAAACGGCAAACTATCATTGTTATCCTATTCAAATGAGAACTTCATTTTATGTATGAAGAAAAACCGGGTCTTGAAAAGTCCCTTTTCACATGACATTCCATTTTGGAGGAATTTTTGAATGAGACTAACCGGACGGCGAAGATTGATTGTCTTGGAGTGGAGTGGTATGGCTATTTCTACAGATCCGGATAGTACTCACAATTGTCAAAAGTGGTTCCATCACGAGGTCTATTAGTATCCCAAAATGTGAAGGCTAAAAGCCCGGTTCTCTAGGCCACCAAGTTGGTCATTTGTTCTTTCGCATAGTTTGTGGAAGCTTGGGGCTTACTGACAGAATAATAAGATGTATTCACCCTATTTCGTGTAAGCTGATGAAGGACTGGTAGTAGAATTTTCCCACAATCATATGAGTTTAGCTGACTTTTCCATTCAATTTTACATAGCCTTGCTTTCCCAAAAGTTGTTCTCATCCAGGCACCAGTGGACTACAGTTTCGATCTCGCATTGGTCTTATCAACACCCCCAGCGGGAGTCGAACCGCGACAGTGCAGGACGGTAGCTTGACACG